GTCTAAGCTAATAAGACCAAGGGCAATGGACTACCAAAGTAGCACAAGCGCCTCCTAAGGGCCCAATGGAGCATTGGAATGGACCAGAATAGCAACAAGAGGCCCAGAAACTTGAAGTAGGGTTTTCAGGCATGGAACGAGCCGTTCCAAATAGAAAAAAAGCCTAAAATCCTAATTCGGAATGGCCTATTCCCAATTCAATTTTGAAAAAATGTCTAACTTGATGGAGAACAAGGAAAGATACAAAGAGGCAAAGGGAAATATTTGGAGTGCTATAAGAGAGATCTCAAATTTGGATGATCGAACTCGCTACATGGTAGCTGATTTGCTTGATGCTAATACAAAGAGTTTTTTTTCTTGATGATGTCAATAAAATAATGCTCAAATTGGATAAAGTATAAGCTAGGATGAATAATATTGTTTTGGTTTTATTTTGGTTGCACTTGATTAAAGTATTTTCTTTATAATTTGGTTGTGTATGAACACATGTTGGATTTGTCAAACTATATTGTTTTGGTGTTATTTTGGTTGCACTTGATTGAAGTGTTTGCTTTATATTTTGGTTGTGCATGAACACATTTTGGAATGGTGTGATGGCATCCTTGCTTCCATTGAAGATGGAATGTTGAACAATGGCAAGGGATGCTTGGACTTCTTGGATCAAAGTTCCTCAAGGGGCATTTTTAATGGAGGAATGGGGCGGAAATGGAAGTGTGGAGGTTGGGTAGAAGGTCTTTGATGAAAGACTTGAGGAAGGTACTCTAGGGTTGGCTCACTTCATGGTCATGAAGGCCACTTCTAGGGTTGTTTCTCTCAAGATGGAGATGGGAGGGAGGTGGTCGAATTAGACAAGGGTGACTAAGGAAAGATATAAAGGCACAAAAGGCTCTCTTTATATTCAATATCCAAAGTATTTACCATGTGTGGTGCCTAGGGTATTTATAGGAGTGGGAGGCATCTAGGGTTGCATTGGCTAAAATTTACAATGCCAAATGCTCACCAAATGAAACCCAAATTAACCCTAGATGCAACTTGGTGGCCAAGGATGGAATCTTTGGGTTTAGTTAGGGTACAGCTAGTTGCATGATAAGACCATGCAACCTTTGCTCTCTATTTGGGCCTAAGCCTTTCTAAGTCCAAAAATAGGTCCAAACACCACCAAAAATGCATCTAGCTCCCTAATTAAATACCTTAGCCCAAAATTTAAAACCTATGATCTAAAGCACCCCATAATACAAGGGTAAAATGGGAAATAAAAAAAGAAAATAAATCCTATGAATAAGATACTCCAAAATTTAAGGGTAAAATGAGAAATACAAGTAAAATAAATTGTATGACTAAAATACCCCAAAATACAAGGGTAAAATAGGAAATTAAAGACAAGGGCAAAATAGGAATAAATTTTATGCTAATAAAAACGTAGGAGCTAAGGCCCAAAAGTAGGGCCACTTCTCTTAGGGTTTTCAAAACTAACTCATACCTCTTGCCTCTTTCAAAATATCACCTATTGCTCTTCTTGGCCTTAGTGTGATTCCATCATGGTGGAACTATATTGTTTTGGTGTTATTTTGGTCGTACTTGATTGAAATTTTTAGCATGTTTATTTTTTATTATATTATTATTTTTAGTTATATTGTTTTATATAGGTACAATGCCACATTCGAGCATGTATGAAGGTAGTGACATAAATGAAGAAGAAATGGCTGACAAAGAGATAGATGATGAAAAATTTTATGAAGCCATGTATACATGTGTAATGGCAATTCATGCATTAATGCATGTGTTGATTCAGTTTCTAATTATGATATGTAATGAACAAATTGAGCGTCCAATAAATTGACAATGAATTACTAACATATGAAATGACTATATACAACGAGTATTAAATGATGATCTTGCAATATTTCGAAAAGTTTATAGGATTTATCCATATGTGTTTTGAAAGTTATGTGCAATTCTTAGAGAAAAAATACTTCTAGAGGATACACAATATATTTATGTTGAAGAAATGCTTACATCATTCCTACAAATTGTTGGTCAGAATACTCGATATTGTGTAATTTGTAACATATTTGGTTGATCATAATTTGCTACAAGTGAAAATTTTCACAAGATTTTGAAGGCTTTGAATACGATAACACCTACTTTGATGACTAAACCAGGATCAACTATGCCAGCTAAAATTAGAGAAAGCACAAGATTCTTCCCTTTTTTCAAGGTATGTACTAATTATCTTAAAATAAAACTTATAATCAAATTTGACACTACTATATTTATATTTTTCATACGATGAAGTGTTATATATGCTAAATTTTAGGATTGCATTGGAGCTATTGATGGGACACATATTCCAACAATGATGAGGGGGCGAGATGTAAGCAATTGTCGTAATCATCATGGAAAGATATCACAAAATGTATTAGCCCCTTGTAATTTTTATTTGGAGTTCATGTACGTTCTTAGTGGGTGGGAGGGTTCAACCCATGATTCTAAGCTACTAAATGATGTTATAACAAGGAGGAATAGACTTAAAGTGACTCAAGGTAAATGCTTATTCTTTAAATAATAATAATAATAGTTATTATTACTATTATTATACTAATATTATATATATATATATATATATATATATTGCATATGTAATTAGGTAAACATTTCTTGGTGGATTGTGGATTTCGAAATCGATGCCAATTTTTAGCTCCATTTTGAGGTGCAAAATATCATCTACAAGATTTTCCAGGTCAGTCTTTAAGGAATGTGATCAAGAGAATATTTAGTATTTTTAAATCAAGATTCACAATTTTTAAGTCAACACCTCCATTTTTATTTAAGATGCAAGTAAAACTTGTGTTACCATGTACAACACTACATAACTTTCTTCGTAAAGAATGTCATTCTGATGAATTTTCAATTGAAATGGTGGACGAACCTTCATCTTCAACATTACTGGTTAATGATGATCATAATTTTGAGCCTAATATTCAAATGTAGGAGCAAGAGTGAGAAGACATTAATGTTTAGAAAACTAGTATAGTTATGAATATGTGGGAGAATGCTATTTAGGAGGATATAATATTACAGAGAATTATTATTATTGTTATTATTATTATTATTTATCCAGACATTGTTGTTTTTTATTATTTTTTTCTTTGCCCTTTTTTAAATTTAAATATATGAAAAAAATCTTAAACTCTTATCGTATGTAAAAAGATTCACGAAATTCTGCAAAGTCCACAAAGTCCCATAGAATCCATCAAAATCCTGACTTAAAAGTCTTGTAGAATCCATTAAAATCCTAATTTAAAGTCTTGCAGAATTCTGCAAAGTCTTCAAAGTCATGAAAATCTTGCAAAGGTTTTTAAAATTCGTAGGAATTTTTTCAACTAAAAAAGTCTTTTAAAATCTTATTGGGTAATAATAAATTTCATAGAATGCCCCCTGATGATCATTGAAATGTTGATGATAAAAATTATATTGTTAATCAATCATTAATGATGATATAATAAAAAAGTTATTAATTAATATAATAATTACTTTTAAAAAATTCCAACACAATGTTATAAAAGCTAACTTAAACCAATAAATTGGACTGATCTCAATTTGTTGAATAGAAGTTGTTATAAAATAAAATCAATGTAAATAAAATTTATTTATATAATCAACGGTCTAACAAGTTTATGAGTGAATCAATATGTTGATTTTTTTTAACTATGGTGTATATATATATATATATATATATATATATTAAAATAATTAATTATAAATTTGTTATAAATAAGATAATTTTTGTTATTATATATAACCTCATGTTATTCAATTAATGATTCACTAATTCAATCCAAATGCATTGAAATCATTGTAAGAATAGCTTGAAAGGAGTAAAACATAGCATGACTAGCTAGTTTCTTAATAAATAAAGGAAAGAAAGGAAAATGTAGAAATAAAGAATAACTCAAGTCTTGAATTTCGTAGAGTGTTTTCAGTGACACATTACTTGATTGTAATAAACTTGTTTGGAGACATGAGAATCACATTACCTATTCCCAAAACACTGGCTCAAGAGAAAACAATAATCCATGGAATCTGAGTGGGTCAGAAAGGATTTGTGTTAATAGCAAAACCTTAGACCATGAGATATTCTTAAGGCCAAGAACTAGGTCCAACTAGGTAACCACAAGGAGGCCAATGCTTTTTTGCATGCTTCAGCTCCACAGATACCGCATGGGACAAATGAAAACTTTTTCAAGTGTAGAAATCAATGACTATATAATGATAATCCAACAAAACTCTCAATGGTAGAACTATTAAAACTTTAAGATTTGGATTAGAACTAGTAAAGGATTTTCACCTGTTGAATGTGATGACTAAATAAGATGGATTGGAAGTCATTGCAACATATATGATGTTAATAGAAGTTGTGTTATTTCGATTTAGTGGTAAGCAACTTCTAATAACATTGTCACTTTTCGCACATCGAAAAAAAAGGGGAAGGTTGGCCCACATTCTAGCGATTGTCTTAGTTAGATGCTAAAAGTTTAAAGGGGATGAAATTAGTAATCTTATTTTACTATACTCTCTTTGAATCATTTATATTTGGAAGTAAAAAACAAAAGGTTAAAAAAATCCATTTTAATAGAAGAATTACCTTAGCTCATTTTCTGTTATTAGATGTAATAAAGTAATAAAAGCATTCTTAGACTTCAACAGGGGCAATGCAATTAAAATGAGATTACACATATCAAACATAATAAGATTAATGCAATTTTGGTATTATATAAGTAAATTATAAAGCAAAAGATATTACTATTAAGTATAGAATTAAAATAAATGTTCTTTTCTTTCTATATTTTGTTTAAAAATGTTGAAAACCAATCTATGAATAAAATATTTGAGAGAAAATCAATTTTCATTTTGGAAGACAAACATATTTTTTTCAATGATCATTATAAACATAAAGTGAATTAAATTCATTCAATCCAAAAACATTCAATCATTAGAAAATAGTAATAGCCAATAAAATCATCCAATTATCTTGTTCATACATTAAATGGAAAGGCTTAGAAACCTCTTACATAATTTAAAATAAATTCATATAAGAAAATCAAAAAGCACATGGAGAGAGTTTAATTCCAATATGGAAAAAACAAACTTGGAACGTATTGATGGAAAGATGATAAATGATCTTCATCAAAATGGTTTACTCTGTTATCTATCTTATTGTAGACAATGAAAAAGAAAAATTCACAGTTTTTTAGCAACAGGACATCTTCATCTTCAGACATGCACAAAGGCCTGCACAATACTTTTAAATTAATAGGTACATGAATTTGAAGATGCTCATAACTTATATTCATCAATTGAGTCCAAGATTTATCAACTCCATATTCCTTCATTAGCCAAACAACCAAATGGGTTTTCATGTGATCATAATAAAGACACAAATAATCCTTTAGAACCTTAAGATTAGGCTCAGAATCAACATGACTAGGCATCGACATATATATGCATGTCTCATTCTTCATATCAAAAGATAAAATTTCCATTTGATCGGTGGTACTAGTTTCGCCTTGATGATGGGAACACAACTTAGGACGATCTACCAACCAATTAATAGTTCCACTCATAAACTCTCCAATCATTTCATGTCCCGTAATGGGATAATTAGACAAAGTTAAAATCTTTTTCCAACATTTGTCACCTGAGTAATAAGATATCACCTCCATCTGTTGTGCTTCAGTATTGAAAAGGACTACCACCACCTTGAAAATGTCACTTTGATCATTGTACCCAAACCCATACCTTTGATTAGACACATCAAATTTACCATTTTTTTCACAAATACGAAAACGTGGCGATTCTTCAGACATGAGCCTAGTGGCCGGGTTCCAAAGTTGAACCCAAAATTCAAGATATTCTTTATAAAGAAAATCAAAAGAGAGCATACAAACCAACCCTTTGCAGACCATTGAGACATTATAATTGTTTTCTGCTATTTCGCGTCCAGGTTTGATAACAGAGGATGGTTCCTCCAACAAGTGATGTAAAGAACATGATGAGATAGCATACTTTGATTCTATTAAGACATGAGTGTTTCTAGAAGATCTTTGATAATGCAATTTAACAAATGTAGGAGTAAACATGGAGGAATTCCAAGGCTTAGAGACACACCTAAATCGCATTAGAGCTTTTACTGGAATGAATGATAGAATTTCCATTATAAGTTCCTCAGGAAGTACAAGAGCCGCAAACATTTTGATTTTATTGAACGCACAAATTTAAATCTTGAGGGAGACTTAAAAGGGTTGGACTGAGTGCTCTATGTTTCACATTCCCTCCCTTGGAAACCAATGGTTAAATAGTGTTACCATTGTTATTTAAAGTAAAAATTCATTGAAAGACACGTTCTTTAGGTGAGGAAAAATAGGAAAACCAATATAATTAAAAGATTGTAAGAAAATAGAAAAACAAAAATGAGATAAAAGAAATTTTGTATACATGTATGAATAACACCATACAGTGACTACAAAAAGTAATTTCAACTGTGAGAAAGATTAATATGTAATATTAAATTAAATTAGTTAATATTGAAATTATTTGGATGATTAATTTTTTTTATTGATTATTTACACAAATTATTAATAGACTAATTTGTAAAAATCATTTAATATTTACATTTTTTGTATCCGGTCAAATAAAACAATTAAATGCAGTACTACGAAGTTGTCCTAGATCGTCTCCCAAGGACCATTTTTTCTCTATCAAAGGCTTAAACACACGAAGGGGGGGTGTTTGGTTCAGGTTCAGGTTTTTTTAGTTTATAACACAATAAAACGTAGATAACACAACAAATAAAATAAATTGGCTCCTTGTTCGGATTGCAACTCTCTTATCCTTGGTTCACAATGAGATTACTCTATTAACCACTTAATCCTTGTTCCATCCGAGTTAACCAACTAAGCGAAGATTAACTCAAGATTTCCCTACTCGAATTAAGAAAATATATACAACATCAACCTCTTCACAGATTAAGCAACGATGGCATTAAGCACAGCCCATTAAGCATGAACACATTGATACAAAGGTTAAATGAAGAAAAACAAAGCAAAACAGAGATATACAAACATACCCAACCTCAAACAGAGATTACAATCCATAACAAGAAAACCCAAGGGATTTTAGCTTTCCATTCAACAGAAATGAAAATGAAAATGAAAATGCAAGGAAGAAGGAAAACGAAAATGAAATTAACAATCAGTATTCTTTCAACAAAATGAAGTCTCAAAATACAACCAAGAAAACTAACGTGACTGGGAGCAAACAAAATGTGAAGAAAATTGAGAGTAAAAAAACAAAGAAGAAGCAAAACGTAAAGAACAAAAAAGGAGAAACCCCACACAAACATGGTCATATCAGAATATTCATGTTAGTGGCTACCAAGTCAGCCCTAACCTAGATGACCTAAAATGAAATTAGGCCCCCATCTTGATGTGTCTGGCCCGAAAATGAATAATACAATGTTAACAAAAATGTAAGTATGTTATTGATGTGGCGCTGACATGGCAGATGACATGGTAGCTCCTCTTTATGTCCAAAAATTAATTCCAAGCCTAGATAATTATTAAACTGCCTTGAAAATAAAAATTGGGATAATTAGATTCAGAAAATTCAAATTAGTTAAAATATGAATTACCGGTCCAATTAAAGCCTAAATAGAAAACAATGCAGAATATAAACAATTAAGCACAATTCAGAGATTAAAATAAGTACAGAAAGGTAAGAAAATAAGGGAAAATAATGATTCATCAAATTCCCCCACACTTAGCCTTTTGCACTCCTGGGAAAAATCAAAAAGCAGAGCAAGGAACAATTCCAGAGACATCAAAGAGAGTGACACAACAGAAACACGAATACACACAAGAAAACAAACAGATTTACACAATCCTCAATGAGTCCTGGGAAAAGAAAAGGAGTAGACAACATCCAACACACAAAGAGTCAGAGAAACCATATACTTATGGAAATCATCCAAGCATTTCAGAACATGGCAAGACAATCAATCAGCTCAAGAGGTGAATCAAAAGCAACAGAACCTCACAAGATGCACTGTATCACTATTTCTCTCAAGTGTCTAGGCAACTGTATACTCTCAAAGCACTCATGAAAAACAAGCAATCAGATAGACTTGGCAAGCCTCGAAAATCAACACCCAACACACAAGAACATAAGGATCAAAAGGTCTTTTTAGGGTTGTAATGAGGCCAAGGACAGGGTAGAGGATAATATATGGGATAAGTAACTACAAACCAGAGGAACCAGAGGAGCAATGGGGAATAAGTCAAGAATGCGCACAAGGAACAAACCCAGAAACCTTTAATGACCTCTATGATAACCAATCCTCTTTCTCTTGCCTCAAACAACTTCTCTTTATGGTTTTTATTTTTTTTATTTTTTGATTTTTTTGAATGAACAGTACACACAAAAATTTGAAATGAGATAAGATAACATGCAGAGAAGTAAAATGTACAACATAAGGAATCAACTAGCCAATATACATCATCCAATGAAACATACACACACCCCCACACTTACTCAAGAACTTATTCCCAAAACACTTCCAAAGCTCCAAAACTCCCTAAGGTTAAGGTAATCATGGTTTTTTGCTTAAGGCTTGTAATGAGCTTCAAAAAAAGAAGGGGAAATAGGCTCAGCAGGGGTTATCAGAGGAGTTAATTCAAGGTAGGCTTATCTGGCTAGAGGTTTATGAGAATCAAAATGCCTTAATCCTTTCCAAACAAGCTTGTGAATCAAGAAGTATCAAATAGAGTCAAGACAAGGCAACTGTGCAAGCAATCAAGAGGCATAACACACAAGAAAGAACAGAGAGTGGCTCAAATCCTCACACAGGGTATATCTGTCACAATTAAAACAACCTCTCAAGCCTCAAAATCATTTTTCCAAGCAGAGAAAAGCAGGGATTTCAAACCATACAGTATCAAGAAACTCCTATCCAAGAATAAAGTAAGTCCCTACAAACTATCAAAACCCAGAATTCAAAGAGAAACATGCAAAACTGTACATAACAACTAAACATAAAACCTAAACCCAAAAATAAAAAATAAACCATAAAAGCATATAACCAAAATAGTCCCCGCATAATTAAACTACACATTATCCCAATGTGGCACAAATAGAAGATCAGAGCAATCAGAATAATCAACAGAATTGGACATGTGTAATAAAAGCAAAGAAGGAGAAGGGTAAAGAAAACTCCCTAATTCATGGCAGTGGGAGAGAAGCAAGGTCAAGCAGAGACATCTCCCCTACAACAACATCCAACAAAGATGGATTGCTGAGGAATGGCTTTAGCCGGTGCCCATTGACTTTAAAGCTCTTATCTGTAGATTGACTTTTGATCTCAACTATACCATAAGGATAAACATTAGTAACAACAAAAGGTCAAATCCACTTATATCGTAACTTACCACCCATGAGTCCGAGCCAAGAATTGTACAACAGAACTTTCTGGCCAACCACGAAGTCCTTCCTAGCTATCAAGCTGTCATGGAACATCTTGGTTTTCTCCTTGTAGAATTTTGAATTCTCGTAGGCTTCCAAGCAGATCTCATCAAGCTCATTTAGTTGCAACCTCCTTTCTTCACCAGCCTGATCAATGGAAAAGTTGCAGGTCTTCACAGCCTAGTAGGCCCGATGCTCAATCTCAATAGGTAAATGACATGCCTTGCCAAAGATAACCCGATAAGGAGACATCCCTTGGGTGTTTTGTAGGCAGTCCTATGCGCCCAAAAAGCATCATCCAACCTGTTACTCCAATCTTTTTTTGTTGGGCTGGACAATCTTCTCTAAGATTCTCTTGATCTCCCTATTTGAAATTTCATCTTTCCCATTGGTTTGGGGGTGGTAAGGTGTAGAAATTTTGTGCACTACCCCATATTTCTTGAGCAAAGCCTGCATAGATCTGTTACAAAATGGGTGCCTTGATCACTAACAATAGCTCTGGGTACTCCAAACTTGCAGAATATGTGAGATCTAACAAAATCCCCAACAACCCGAGCATCATTAGTTCTGGTGGGTTTGGCTTCCACCCATTTTGAAACATAATCAGCATCTAAAAGAATGTAGGAAAAACCAAAAGAAACAGGAAAGTGACCCATGAAATCAATACCCCAAACATCAAACACCTCACAGAATAGCATGGGTTGCTGAGGCATCTGTTGTCTCCATGTAAGGGATCCTCCTACTCGCTAACATTGCTCACAAGTGCTACAAATCTTCCACGCATCTCTAAAGATGGTGGGCCAGTAGAAACCACAATCGAGCACCTTGCGAGCTGTCCTCTGAATGCCTAGATGGCCACCTGGTGCGGAAGAATGACAAAATTGCAGGATCGAATCAATCTCATGATCTGGTATGCATCTCTTAATCACCTGGTCACTGCACAACTTCCATAGATAGGGGTCATCCCAAATATAATGCTTAGCATCACTCTTAATTTTATCAATTTGAGCTCGTGATGCTAAGGGAGGAAAAATAGAAGAAACTAAAAAATTAACAATGTTTGCAAACCAAGGGGTGGTAGAAGAAATAGAAACAGAAGAAACAATCAACAAATTTTAATCAGAAAAATTATCCTGGATGGGCAAGACGTCAGCACTATCCTCAAGTCTTTCAATTCTGCTGAGATGGTCTACCACTAAATTCTGAGCTCCACTCCTGTCCCAGATATCCATATCAAACTCCTAGAGCCAGAGCATCCGCCTTATCAATCTAGGCTTTGACTCAGCCTTTTTCAGTAGGTACTTTAGAGCTGCATGGTCAGAATATAAACAATAACACGAGAACCAAGAAAATAAGATCTAAATTTACCAAGAGCAAAAACAATGGCAAGAAGCTCTTTCTCTGTGGTAGTGGAGTTTTCTTGGGCAGCATCCAAAGTCCTGGAAGCATAATATATCACTCGAGGCAACTTGTCAACTTTCTGTGCCAGGACAACTCCCAATGCATAATTGTATGCGTCACACATCAGCTCGAATGGGATTGTCCAATTAGGTGCCTGAATGATTGGAGTGGTGGTGAGTGCTTCCTTAAGGCAATCAAAAGCCTGTTTACACCTATCATTAAAAACAAAATCAACCTGTTTTTGCAGTAGATTGGATAGCGGAAGGGCCTTCTTGCTGAATTCTTTGACGAAGCGCCTGTAGAAACTTACATGGCCAAGAAAAGATCGAACCTCTCGCACGTAAGAGGGGTAAGTAAACTGTGAAATAACAGATATCTTGGCAGGGTCAACCT